GCCTCGGACGTGCTCTACTCGCCGCGATCGTACGCCGCCCTCGGCGCGACGATCCGCGCTCTGGCCGGCGCCGACGCGACGGTGGTCCTCGCGTTTCCGGAGAGGCACGGCGGGGAGGCGCGGCGCGGCGCAACAGCGCGCGCGGTGGGGCCTCTGGAGCGGGCCCCGCTAAAGGTCACGTGCCCCGACGCCTCAGGCACGCTTCGTGGAGGGGCTCGCGCCGGCCTTTGCGTTGGTGGACAGCGAGGCAGCCGGCGAGGGCGCGGCGGCGGCGGCGGGCGGCGCCCGACTGCGGGTCGTCGAGCTGCGGCGCGCAAGGCCGAGATGGTGCGGCGGTGGCGATGGGTGATGAGCGCGCGTGAGGCCTGACCAGTCAGACAGCGTTTTCGTGGGTTCCGCAACAAACCTCTCTGAACACCGTGGAAGCCCCTTTCCTGTGCGGGCCTGCCAGCACTTTGCCATCCCAGCCTCTCTGCGACCACGCAGCGTCCAGCGAGACGCTCGCTAACACGCTAGTCCTAATAAGTAAATACCGTATAACGGTCGGTGTGCTGTGGTGTAACGGCGCGCGTTGCCTTTGGCTTTGCGCTTTGGCCCGCTAGCCCGGTAGCGCTTTGCCCCCGCATGTGCATGCACATGAGCATGCACATGCCCACACACATGCACTGTCGTCTGTCCATGTGCATGCCATCACCTTCACGGAGGTGACGCGAGCTTGTCAGGCGTCCGCGATTCGTTCTCGCAGGCTTTTTTCTTTTTATTTCGCCAGTCCTTCCCTTCTATGTGAGGTGCGGGATTCTTTTTGCTGGCTCCTCGAAAATGGTGAGGTGCTTTGCGTTGTTACTGCTCAGTCTGCCCGCCGCGAGCGCTCTTGCTCCGTGTCCTGTGCGAGTGCGTTCGCACAGCAGCGCCGCAGCGTGCGCGCCGCGCTCGTCTCGGCGCGAGGCGCTCGTCGGAGCGGCGCTCGCAGCGCTCGCTGGCTGCGCCTCGCCGGCCAGTGCTGCGCCCAAGGATGGACGCGCGAGCATCAACCTGCAGGAGGAGCTGTACGCGCTCCTGCGAGTGCAGGAGTCGACGATGCAGGAGTCGCGGCTCGTCAAGACCGGAAAGTATCGGGACCTCCAGCGGCTCAACATCAAGCGTGCGACGCGGATGATGCTCGAGAACTCGGACTTTGCGACGCGCTTCAACAAGGCGTCCGCGTTTGCGCCGCGCGACCAGGTGATGCAGGCCACGACGTACGGCAACACCGCCGTCGAGGGGCTCAACCAGATCCTCGAGTACTTTCCGCAGGATCTTAAGGCCAACTCGCTCACGCCCGAGCAGACGCGCTTCGTCCTGGCGGCGCTCGCCTCGGTCTCGACGGCAATCGACAAATTCCTCGCGATCATGCCGGCCGAGCCGCTGGCAAAGGCCCGCGCCCAGATGGCCCGAGAGAATGAGTTGAACCTGAAGGAGTTTGACGGCGCCCAGTACCCTCATCCGCCCCGAGTACTGTAACGGGATGCG